AAAAAAAAAAAAGAAAAAGAAAATCTTAAAATCCTGTACAGAATTTTCCAAATTGGATAAAATAAATATCACTTTTCAATTCATCACCGTAACTCATTTCATCATTTCCATCAAATAAAAATTCCTCGAGCATCGTTATATAACGCTTTATTAATTTCCCAACGGCAACGACATTGACACCCTATTCGCGTCACCTATTTCACTGTCACCGGGTTTCCAAGACCACGCCTCGAGGCACCCATCATCGAATACACCAAATACCTTGTGGATGGTACACGGTTGTTCGCCCGAACGAACGTAGACATCACACGAATCCGCGTGTGTGTGCGTGCGTGTGAGCGTGTGTGCGCGGATAATGCAAAGTGCACTCGTGTCACGTCAAATGGAGGCACCCATCTGTCGTTAGACGGTGGTGACATTAAGAAAACAGGAAAGACGGTTCTGTGCCTCGTTCTGAATAAAGCTCGTTTCATTCGCGTACGCGCCATTTCGAATTTTTCGAGCGTGTATGTAAATTAGTTGGATGATATTACTTATCGAAAATATTCGAATATTCGGTGTAATTTGAAGAGGAGGGAAAGAAAATGGAATTTCGAATTTAAAAGAATATTTAATCGAATATGCGCGGATTTACGAATTTATTTTATCGAAATAAATAAATTTTTTTTTACAAAGGTAAAATTATATTATGTTAAGTAGGTTAAGAAAAATTAAAAAGGAATAAATTTTGAATTTTGAAAACATTATAAATTTATGTTATGAAATTAAAAAGGAAATTTTTTTGAAATTTTTTTTTTATGAAATTAAAAATGAAATTCGAATGAGCAAGTTAAATTGGTAAAAGTAACAGTGAAAAGTTAAAGAATAAGTAGAGAGGTAAAATTTTGATTTTGAAGTGATTTTTAATATATATCTTTTTATCTTCAATTCATGAAATTTGAATATTTAAAGAAAAATTTATTACACATTTATATGTGTGTCTTTATATATGTTTTATAATATTTTTCTTATTATTTCAATTAATATTATAAATACAAATTTACAAATATAATCTCATAATTATTATACATTATAAATTTCATATTATAATCTAATACAATGTAATTATTAGATTATAATTAAACGTATATTATAATATTATGAATATTAACAATGGAGATCAGAGATGATGTTTAAATTATGCAAATACGTTATTTATTGGCATAAATATTATTAATAAATAAAAATTTATTTATTAATAATATAAAGATAATAAATAAATAATTAATATTTACTTATTATCGAGAAAAATATTAATAATTTTAGAAATGGATTCTTTTCATTTTCATACGTGGATTCTTTTATTCCAATAATAATTTCAATGAATAATAGAACGTCGAATAAAAGAAAAACCAAAAAATTTTATTCAAAATTATTTCACGATATTCATCATTTTTAAATGTAATCTCTCTCTTTTAATATTTTTAATTTTATATAATTAATAAGATATAATATTCGCTTATTCTATCGTAAAAATTATCTTCGATGATTTATCATTATTCATTAAAAGAAACAAATAAATAAATACATTATATTGAAAAAATATATTTCCAAAAAAAAGGATTTGCAATCATTTGCAATCAATTACATATTTTCCTTTAACCAAATATATGTATATTTCACCAGAGAACAAAGAGTAAAAATTGATCAAAAAATTTAAACTGAAAAGTTTATGCAACTTGTTTAAAAATCGATTCAAAGAATGTATAATTCAATGTGCTTTCATTTCATACACCATATGTTTACAAAGGAAATTAAAAATAAATTTTCTGCAACACCAAAATGAAATTTTAATTGAAATTTCTTCCTCTGAAATCTTTATGAAACACGTACGTATTCGAAACTATCGTTTAATTTTAATTATTATTATCCTGTAAATTAATTAAATAGAAATAAAATATTTTTATTTTTATTTATCGTGTAGACCGATATTAATTTTCTTAAGTGTGTTTAGCTCCTTTATATACTTCTATAAGTATAACTTATTACACTTATATCACGTAGTTAATTTATGTATGCACACATTTATCGTTGGAAAATTATTTGTTGCTTCAAATGTATAATTAAATTAGAATTAAATTATCTGTTTCCATACTAGCATGTTTAAGATACATATATGTACAATTTTTCTCTTTTTGTTTTCCATAGATAATTATACGTATACATTTCTGTTATTTTTATTTAAAAAAAGATTGTTTTAATAATCGCAATCAATCGCAATTTGACCAAACAAAATGATTAATTTCCAATTAATTAAACGACTCGACAAATTTTTATATAATTTTAAATATTTTTATTACTTTGCCTTATTATTATTACTATAGAATGTAACTATACACAGAATCAGGTGAATGTATTTTTGTGCATTTCCACAATTCACTTATAGCATTTCAAAGTATTTAGAGAATTGTTGAAATTTTTACTTTCAGCATGTTCATATGTGTTTCATCAGTTAAAAAGCATCCTTTTTTTTTATATATATATCTCGATATTAATGTTTTTAATTTTTCAATGACGAACATTCCATTGCACGAACCATGAATCGCTTGTCAGAAGAAATTTTTTTTTTCTCAATAGCTACTTCTGAGAAACGATTTTCTTTTTCCATTATTTTCACATATTCATATTTATCGTTCCGTAGATACAATATAAATCGCAAGTGAAATGGAGAAATTAATTAAAATATCTTTTAATTGATATAAGAAATTTATTCCAATTTGAAAACTGTCTGATGAATATACTTGAACATAAAAAGTTCTATCTTCTTGCTCTATCAAATTAATTAATTTCACTCGAAACCGATTATATTTTATATCATGCTAGTTTTAATTTTATCTAATGTTACGCTAATATGCGCCATACAATTGAAAATCTTGCAACAAGAGACATTCTTTTGAATTATTACAGATAACATATCTAAAATATTCTATATATATATTCTATATATATATAATATATTCTATATATTATATATATATATTCTATATATATATAATATATTCTATATATTATAAACTCTAAATAGAGATGAATATATTATGTTTCAAAAATCGAAATAAAGTCCTACATAATAACAAATATAATTACAAATATATCGACGTAATTATCATAAAAATATACATTTTTCCAATCTTATATCTCTCCACTTCACAACGGCGATCCAATCTCGCACGTGAATCAAAATGTTAAAAAAACGACTTACCCATATACATTCCAGACACCCTAGACGAGTTCAAGCTTGTGTTCTACGGCACGGAAACGTCATTGGAATTCGACGACGAGTTGGACAAGGACAAACCGTTACCGCCG